ATTAAAAGCTCCTGACCAGCAATCAGCAGCCAGATAAGCAGAAATTAACACCAAGCAGCAAACAATATCCCAATCAAGGAACTACCAACACAGTAAACGGCACCCTAGGTCAGCTAGAAATGAGAAGGAAAAAAATGGCTGCAGCCATGCTCATTCTAAAGTCTAAATGTCTTCTAAATGTCATGGTTCTGACAGACAGAGACATCCTAATTAAGGAACTGCCAATACTGACAGGAAAAGCCACTTGTCTTTAAATAGAGAGCAAAAGCACTGATGATGCTTCTAGCACTGGTGATGTTACCTAGTTGAGTAATGAAACGTCTGCAAGACAGAAAAAAAGCACCAAGGACCCCATAGAATAATACGAGTATCTCCATTGATCCCATCAGCTTGGAATTCGCGTTCCTGAATAAAGTTTGATGTCTGTATGAGACAGAAAGGAAAAAAACTGAGAGATTAATGTAACCAAATACGTGAACAACCAATTCTCTGTGTGGATGCCGCTTCTGGAAGTCCATTCTGGGCCTGGGCAACAAAAAATTAGCTACCGGTTCTGCCGAAGTGGTGCGAACCAGCTGAATCCCACCACTGAATGTAACCCCCGACTCAATCCTCTAGCCTGGAACAGAGACATTCTGCAAACAACCATCAGTTTCCCTGTCTCCAAAAAGGATATCAACTTTCACAAAACCTTGCATCTTCATAAACACATAAAGGTTTAAAAAAATGTGCTTCTTTGGGATCAGAAGCTAAGCATAGCCAGCCCTGATTCTTACTAGGAAGTTAAAAAAAAAAAACCAAACCCCTAAATTATAATAATTCTGGGCTGGCAATCTACAAGGTGGTATTCATGTAATACCAGCGGCTGAGTCTGATTCCGGAGCATCTTTAAATCGCAAAGACATTCTACACGTCAAAAAACTAAACGGCGAGGTAGCACATCGAAAGCACCAGAACAATTACGCTGGCGTAACCCAAGCCATTAATGTTCAAAATTAAGTGTAAGAAAAGCTGATCTCATCCATCACAAAAGAGAGGCGACTTGCCGGAAGGCCGGAAGGGCCTATGGAAACATCGTATTTCTGAATTAAATATCAGTCCCAAAGAAATAGGCATTCGAGTCGCAGGATAGGCAAAGAGTTATTTACCGAAATCACTGAGACGCATCGGAGGAGACCCGCCTTTCTCTCTGTACATGTCCAATTTCCAAAGAGAAGGGAGGTTGAAGCTGATTGAATAAATTACCTGTTGTTAATTAATTATTCACCCAGCTCCCGCCGTTGTCTCTGGATCACTGAACTATAATTTGTAGCTTAATCATGGATGGCTCTAATATATGTAAATTCGGTAACCATAAACCATTCAGCTTGGGCAACGAAGGGTGGAGAAACGCTTTGAATTAGCAGAGAATCTGGAGGAAGCTTGAGCGGGCAAAGTGTGCCGTTTGATTTGCGAACGACGTAATTTGGCGTCCCTTGCAGGAAACTATTCGCTTGCAGTGCCACCCAAGTGAAATTGATATTTATTTGCAGGCCACCCACCAGAATGCCAGCTCTTGCAGTGGGTGGGGGCAGCGAATCGGGTGCCCGTCTTTCCTTGAGATTCCCCAAGAGAGAGAACCGCAAAAACCACTTCGCACAAAAGAGAGGAAACGTATTGAAATGTTATCACACGCGCAACCAGAAGACAGGTTTGCAAAAAATCTATAAATGATTCTGTACAGGTAGTCCTCGACTTATGACTGCAATGGAGCTCAAAAAACTCTGTTGCTAAGCGAGGCAGTTGCTAAGGGAGTTTTGCCTCCATTTTACGAGATTCCTTGCCATGTGGGGGACACGGCAACTTGTCATAAATATGAGTCGGTTGCCAAGCCTCTGAATTTTGATTGTGTGACCCTGCGGATGCTGCAACGGTCGTAAGTGTGAAAAAGGGTCACAAGTCACTATTTTCAGTGCCTTTGTAACGTCAAACGGTCACTAAATGAACTGATGCATCCCCAACAGTCACGTGGATCAAAATTCAGAGGCTTGGCAACTGACTCATATTTCTGACCGTTGCACCGTCTGGGGGTCAGGTGACTGCCATTTGTGACCTGCTCAGATGGCTTCTGACAAGCAATGACAAGGGAAAAGGCAAATTCGCTTAACGAATAGTGGGAATTCTGCCCCCAAGGACCAACTGCGTTTTTTGCAGGGATGTGACGTTCAGATTTCCCATTGGCAGGATCCTCCTCCTCCTCCTCCCCCCCACTCCTTTCTAGCACTGATGATGTTACTTGGTTGGGTAATGAAACATCTGCAAAAAAACAACCAAGCTCAGAGAGCATCAGGGACCAACCCCTTAGTCATCGTCCTCCTCCTCCTCCTCCTCCTCCTCCTCCTCCATAATAAACCCCACTATAGAAGTATAACATTGTATTTCACAGGTACAACATACGGTGAGCCTAGAACTTATTAAATTGTTGAGTTAGGTCAAATCCAGCAATGGGAACAACCACTCTTATCTCTGCTTTTCTCCAGTCTGTTCCCCTCCTTCTGTCTTCCCTTCCTTCCTTCCTTCCTTCCTTCCTTCCTTCCTTCCTTCCTCCCTCCCTCCCTCCCTTCCTTCCTTCCTTCCTTCCTTCCTTCCTTCCTTCCTTCTCCTCTTCTCCTCCTCCTCCTCCTCCTCTTCTCATTAAAAAAAAATAGCCTATTATCCTAATCTGGATGCTCTCGATTTTGATAGTCAACTGTGGCCAGAAAAAGAAGAAGAATGTACAACCCTGACCTTTCCCGATCCTGCCCGTTTGGATTGGATTGGCCGCTCCTTCTGCCATTCTTCCCCATTTAGCAAAGCGGTAAACACGGACGGGGAGAAGGAAACTGGATGACATTGTCTAGCAAATTGCAGAATGTTGAAAAGGTCAGAAATTGCAGAATGAGGCTCTCCTGTAATTTACAGCTGCTTGGAGCTGTTCCCATTCTAATATCTCATTTGCGGGACCAGCCCAGCAACAGAACATTAAAGTCAACGTGTGAATCCATTTCCAAAGCTGGATTTTATATTCAGATTTGTATTTTATTTTTTTTTCTCCTAACGAAGAAGGAGAAGGGATTGCCAATTTACCCTGCGTTTAATTTCGATTTCTCCCTCTGGTAAACATAAAAGCAAAGCTGCTGGTTGTTTTTTTTCTCTTTGCTCCCCAGCTGTGGATCCAATAAATCCTATCAAAATTCAGAACTGGCAAATTCTCAAAATGCGACCGAAAGCATGAAAAGGCTTCCTGACTAATATCGTCTCCTGTTTTTTTGCATTTTTGGAAAGTGAACTTCACGTGAAGTATTAATACCACTTTACAATGCCTTGGTAAGGCCACACTTGGAATACTGCATCCAGTTTTGGTCACCACGATGTAAAAAAGATGTTGAGACTCTAGAAAGAGTACAGAGAAGAGCGACATCCGAGCTCGAAGTCTGAAATCAGGTTATAGATGTGCACGGATTTATAGAAGAGCTTAGCTGTATATTTATTCTACATATATATCATGAGGTAGTTCAGTTGTGATCTACATGGAAACTGATTTTGTTCACGGCAAAATGGGACTTATTTCTTAAAATACAGTTAAACACAAGCTGGAAATATGGGTGGAGCAGAACAAGGTATCTTGTATTTAAATACCTTCAAAAAGCATAGAAGTGGGTCCTAAGAGATGCAACTTTTAGTGACCTCCAAACAACAACTTGGTCTCAACAATTAAGAAGTAAGAGACATAACACTCTCTTAAACTAATCTGTTTAATGTACACTTAAAACCATTTAACTGAAGGTCTATCAAGGATAGGAGAGAAAAATGTTTTATCCAGTTGCAGGCATTTGTGCTACATGAACTGAAAAATTGTTCATTTGGAATTCAAGCTTCTTTAAAAAAAAAAAGAATTCAGTCTGTGCTAATATTTGCAAACGTGTGTTAGGAAAATGCCTGAACGCAGATGGGCAGATTCGTGAAAACAATAATAAAAAAATGTGTTCTTAACACTATTCGTTTACAAAAATGACCTGTAAGCAAAACTGAAAAAGGTGTGGTGTTTGTTATCTAGAGTGCAGCCTGATCATATATGACAGAATTTGCAAAAACGGGAAAGTGAAAACAAATAATAAAAAAATCTACTATTGTATCACCATTCCTGGCAGCAAGACGTTCCTTAAGTGGTACGTAAAGAAAGAGAAATTCCATCCAAGTAGTATCATGTGGAATGACTCAGTTTTTATTACAGGTAGTCCTCGCCTTACAACAGTTTGTTTAGTGACCGTTCGAAGTTACAACGGCACTGAAAAAAGTGACTTAGGACCGTTTTTCACTCTTACAACCGCTGCAGCGTCCCCAGGGTCACGTGATCAAAATTCGGACGCTTGACAACTGACTCGTATTTATGACGGATCCCGGGATCACGTGACCCCCCCTTTTGCGCCCTTCTGGCAAGCAAAGCCAATGGGGAAGCCTGCTTCACTTTACAACCGTGTTACTAACTTAACAACGGCGGTGATTTAACCGCTGTGGCAAGAAAGGTCGTAAAATGAGGCCAAACTCATTTAACGACTGTCTCGCTTAGCAACAGAAAATTGTGGTCGTAAATTAAGGACTACCTGTACAGAAGTGGGCAGAAAGGTTTCTGTTTCCTACATACCGTGCGTCACATTATAAATTCAGTCCTATTCTCCCCCAGTACGCTGAATTTATCAACATTTCTCCCATGTGCGGAGAAAAAGCAGCTGTTTCATGCACCGTTTCAAGAGTGGATGCGCTGATCTTCGGATCCATCCATCATATCCTTGGGTGAAGCTCAGACAATTAGCCCCATTCTCCAATCCGACGCAAACGTCCTCCTTGAAACCCTTGTTGGAGTAACTCCTCCCCCCCCCCCATTGCGAATGAAAAAGTAAAATATTGATTTACCTACAGTAATATCAGCCACACTCTGCTCTGGCTTCATTTCAATCCCATCTTCTAAGAAAGGAACTTACCCAACTGGACTTCAAGAAGACCCGTCTGGTTCTCTACCGGATACAAAGGCTGAGGGGGTCTGTTGGTGACCAAAGCTGAAAGAAAAAGGGGAAGAGAAAAGAGGAAGGGAGGAAATTAAAAGAATAATTCGGATCTGGAGACAATGAGTGTTGTGCAAAGGCTTGGATGTGCAGACCTGGATTTTTTTTTTTAAGACACCCATTTTTTTAAGATGACCATCGGCAGCATTCTGCTAGCTTTGGAATTATATTGATTAAAAACTCCCTGTATGACCTTGTAATCCCTCAGTTCAGGATAGAGTTGGGGTGACTGAATGGAGCTGAGCGTTTACTGGCCAGATGACCTTCCTGATGCCTACGCGGAGTTCACAGCAATATTTTTTTTTTTTTGCGCCCTGAGAGAAAAACCTCTGCACCACCTGGGATCGAACCCTTGACCTTCCAAGTGGGAAGCGAGCATCTTCCCCACTAGGCCCACACGCCGCTCCTTAGGAATTATATTGATGATGGCACCAAAAGCAACAACCAGAATCATATAATCCCATTTTATGCAAGTGGATCCTCAGCACAGCTAACAATGATGAAATAGATCAGTTCAACTGGAAAAAAAAATAATAAAAAATCATGAGAGAGAGAGAGAGAGAGAGAGAGAGAGAGAGAGAGAGAGAGAGAGAGAGAGAGAGCCATTTTATGCAAGTGGATCCTCAGCACAGCTAACAATGATGAAATAGATCAGTTCAACTGGAAAAAAAAATAATAAAAACTCATGAGAGAGAGAGAGAGAGGAGAGAGAGGAGAGAGAGAGAGAGAGAGAGAGAGAGAGAGAGAGAGAGAGAGAGAGAGAGAATCCCAAAGGTGCTTTTTCCAAAAGTCAACTGGACTTCCCAAGAAAGAAAGTCCAGTTGCATAGTGGAAAAAGCACCTTTGGGACAATCATAACCTGGTTGATAGAAAATCTTCATAGACGAGAGGCAGAAAGGGAAAGGGAAAAGGAAAGAGAGAGAGAAAAAGAAAGAGAAACAGAAAGAGAGAAAGAGAAACAGAGAGAGAGAGAAAGAGAAAGAAAGAGAAACAGAGAGCAAGAGAGAGAGAAAGAGAAACAGAAAGAGAAAGAGAGAAAGAAAGAGAAAGAAAGAAAGATAGAAAGAAAGAAAGAAAGAAAGAAAGAAAGGAAAGAAAGAAAGAAAGAAAGAAAGAAAGAGAAAAAGAATTTTTCTCAACTGCATCTTGTAGGTACTTTCTAAGCCTCTCATTGCTTATACACAGCATTTTATTCAAGATATACAAGGGATTCTCTTTAGCAGCGCGTGGCAGCCGCACACACCTCTTCTGTCCAAAGATGGAACAACTGACGCCAATGAAACATCAGGGCCACTGAGGCAACTAAATTACTTTTGGATTAGCTAGGAATAGAAAGTTGCTGGCAGGTGAGAAAAAAAAATAATCAATGCCTTTCATTAATGCACTTGGAATGCCATTAGTGGGAACAGGAAAGCCTGCCAATCATTGCGTTATCTCTACCGAGAATTTTCCAAAGCGGCCGGCTGGATTCGTACACAAGTCTTAAAGTCTAATTCGCTTAAATAGACACCGATGATGGAAAGTGTAGAGATCAATTGCAAAGGATTCGCTGGCGTGATTTAAAATCGGCCTGGGTCAGACCGAGAGCTCAGGCCGTGCGGAACTCATGAAGAGCAAAAATGCTCCTCGTTGGCTGAAAACTATTATTTTCAACAGTTGGTGGAGGGTATGAGAAAGAGACCCGCTCTCCCCAGTCCAGGTCCCATGGGACCCTCCTGGAGAATGTACAATGAAAACTCGGTACAGTATCCTTGCATCTCATCCCTAACTAGGTGTCAGAAATCTTCCACCCACACGAGATTTGTGCTACAGTTCCCTTCTCCTTGGAAAGACCATTTGGCAAACAAATTCTTTTTCCCTTCCGAGGACAAGCAGAACACAAATATTTTCATTTTGCTTCAGCTGATTTCCTTAATAAGAAGACGAAAAGGAAATAAGGCACGCCTTTTCTCCAACAGCAAAATTCATATGCAATTATCAGGATATCCGAGTGCATTTCAGACATTCAGAGTGATCCGATTCATAATAGATGTTTGAAATAGGGAACCTTTCTGCAGTTGACTAGAGAGAGAGAGAGAGAGAGAGAGAGAGATAAAACAGCCTGACAGGTAAATACAAATAGGAAACCAGGAAGAACACAGCCCTGAGAGTACATATTACTGAACACTGTAAATTCAGGATTTGAGCAAACTCTCCTTGCAACAGGTTTTCTCCTGTATGTATCTTGATTTCTTCCAGGATTTTCAATTACGGTTTTGATGAATGAGACTAAATGCTTTCAGGATTCAGGTGGTCAACTACCCTGAGATGGGGAGCAGATAAGCCAAGGCTGAAATAATAGCTTCAAGAAACCGCTTCCCGTTAAAAGCTGAGGAATTTCCAATACGATGGTCAGTAATGGAAAGAAGTGGACTTTCCATTCCCCAGAACTACGGAGGGTTTTTGATGTCCTCTACCCTTGATGAGGCTCGGTAGGCTCTGTAATACTTTTAACTTGTAATGGTTATAAGGTACAATCGATAGCTGAAGGACTGCATTTGTCCAATTTTTTCTCTCAAAAAAGATTGATGTGCAATTTCTATTAAGCGGTTCAATTTTCAAACCGAACAGTTCAAATTCATCCAAGGAAGTAACTATATATCCAACCACTCCAATTCCAGGTTGGCGCCGGTTTGCTTAACACTCAACCCCAAGTTTGCTATTACCATGAGCGATGACCATGATGGATGCCACTTGCAGGCCTCGCTGGAGAATTTCTTGAGTGGAAGTTGCATTTTTTCCAATTTGCAACCCAAAGAATTTTGCATTCTGGAGCACCTTAGCTCAGCAGGAAGATCAGTCTGGGAAGACACATTTCTCTGAAAGACAGCTTGCTTGCCACAACTCATTCTCTGAAATGTGTTGGATGAGCACACATTCAGCTGAAGAGAGATTAAAGCAGGGATGTCCAGCCTTGGCAACTGGGGAATTCTGGGAGTTGAAGTCCATAAGTCTTAAAATTGCCAAGACTGAACTTCCCTGCATTAAAGTGTCTGACAGTGTTAGAAATTCTGTTTATATATAGCACCACAGATCAAACAAAGAGCACTGTCACCATGTGCTTTACTGCTGAACTGTTTAACTGTAACAGAAAACTGGAAACTCTACTTAGGACAAAAGAACATAGACTATATAGACCATAGATCCAAACTTGTAAAACCTGCCATCTACTGGTAGTTGTTGCACAAAAATACATCCCAACAATACTTCTAACAGGTGTGTATGCCTGTAATTAGAACCCATAGCAATAGGCAAGAATTCCATCAGATACTCCTCTGGATCTCATTTTCAGATTGGCAGGTGGTTCTCAACTTACAACCATCCATTTAGCAACCGTTTGAAGTTACAATGGCCCTTAAAAAGGTAACTTATGCACTTATGGCTATTGCAGCAACCTCAGGGCCATGTGGAGGTGCTTGGCAACTGGCCTATATTTATGATAGTTGCAGCATCCCAGAGTCACATGATCACCAATTTCTAACCTTCCCAACTGGCTTCCGAGGTGCTAAAGCTAATGAGAGAAGCTGGATTTGCTCAACAACGGTGTGTGATTCACTTAACAAACCGGTCAGGCATAATGAGACCCGGCTCATAGGTCATATGCCACAAAATAACCAACCAAGATTCATTTTAGCTACACTGAGGGTGTTTTATTAACGCAGCTGCTTCCTCTTTAACTAAGCCAGTTAAACATAATGAGACTTGGCTCATTGCTCATGAAAGTAGCCACGTTTCTTTCTCCCATTCATGGCAGGAGATGATGTTTCCTTCAGTCATTTATCTGAATAACTCTCAGGAAGATAAAATGCTATCCAGGGAGGAACAATGCAAACCAGCTAGATGAACTCCGCTTAAAAGCTGACAGTGAGTTAGTCAGCTTAAAGTGGCTCCATCGTGAGCGAGAAATAAATATAAGTATATTGTAGCATTGTTGCATATTTGAGTGATTTGATAATAATTTGGCATTCCGGAGATTGAGCTGCCTCCCCTGCACTAGCACAGCAATATCAACCTGACAAAATGATTACGCCGGCATCTGACATTTGACAGAGCCCAAATAAAGTCGCTGTAACACAGCCCTGTCAGAGGATAAATGTGTTTGGCTTTGAAAATAAACATCTCACACTCTTTTTCTGTAAAATGCTTCGGCATTCAGCTGGGAGCGAGGGAGACCTCATTATCCCATGACAAAGTTCGGTTCCATTTGAAATTATTTATTCAAGGAGCAAATCCATCATTTGTCTGCAACAACTGGGGAACGGAAACATTCCCGGCGTTCGGATTCGCAGCTTGGGCACATCCTGATAATGTGGCATCAAATTTCCAGGGCTGTTCCTTTGCCTTGGGGGGAGCAGTTGGTGGGGGCCGACTGGTTTTCTTGAAGATGTTTCATGACCCAACTAGGTCACATCATCAGCGCTAGAAGAGAGCGGGGTTTGTGGAGTGGAGGAAAACAGATGGAGGAGGAGAACTGTGGGGTCCTTGGAGCTCTCTGAGCTTGGTGGTTTTCTTGCAGATGTTTCGTTACCCAACATTATCCATCAGTGCACTGATGATGTTACCTAATTGGATCATGAAATGTCTGCAAGAAAATCACCCGTCTCAGAGAGCACCAAGGACTCCCCAGTCCTCCTCCTCCTCCTCCTCCGCCTCCTCCTCCTCCTCCGTAGCACTGGTGATGCTATGTGGCTGGGCCATGAAATGTCTACAAGAAAGCCACCAAGCTCAGAGAGCAGACAGGACCCCCTCATTGCAACCCTGAGCTACAATCCCATATTCTTATATAACTAGTCGTAGATCCCTTGTACCGATTTGCTTCCCCTTCCCCTTATTCCCTAAAGGATGGGAAGTGAACTTCAGAAAAATCAACACAATGAGGAGGTTCAGGGGTTCAAACCTGAGACCCTTTACACACACACCCCTGGATCTTCGCCACTGCTGAGCCTCATTCAAGA